GTACTGTTTTTTTTTTCTTGGTTCAAAACTTGATCAGAATTCATAATCTTTGAAATAGAAAATTTGTATTATTAAAAGTGCGAAAAACTTTCAAAGATCAATTCACCCCCCTCTTGATATCAGCCTACATTTCTAATAGATACTTCCATATCTCTCAAAGAGCACATTGTCCTCTTTTTACAAAAAGTTTTGTATAAAATGTATAAGAACACATTTACAAATACAAGATATACCTACTTTCTTAAGAAAAGAAGATAGTATAAAAGACAAGAATTTAACTGACACTAGGACTTCAGTCTTAGAAACCATATTAAATATTCTTGAAGAAAAGGTTCTTCATCTAGAACAAATCATTAAAGGAAAAGATACTAAAACAAGCCCAGTGTCAAGATCCATACAAAACAACATGATGAGAATTAATGAATGTATCCCATTAGTTTGTAATAAAAAACAACTAATAACTGTAAAAATATTAGTAAAATTGAATTTTCTAAAAAAGAACAAATATCCTGCTAAAGAAGAGATAATTCAAGCTCTCTTATATACAGGATGTTCTGAAACAGTTGTTTGTAGAACAAAATTACCTTCTTTCATGATTACCAAAAGTAAGCACATACAAAAGACCAAAATTATGTCTGGAAAAATAATGATAAATGATGAAAAAATAAACAACATTTCTCTTCAATTTAGCATAAATTGCGACCTATTTAATACATTTCAAAACTATGCGAGTAGAAAATTTAGCTTCCTCCAAACAAAGTATGATTATAGGTTTAGATTTCATTCTGCGCTAAAATCGAACTATCACTATAAACAAAGATTATGTTATCATTAGTGATAGAACACAAATGTCTCCTATAATTAGTGGTGACGGTCATAACAATACAAAACAACCTATTAAGGAATGTTCTTGTAAAAACCCCAAATTTTCTAACACATGTGACTGCATGGAAGAAGATTTAACTATAGAATATTATCAAACAAATAGTATTAAGGAATATTTTTCTTCCATAAAGATTACAAAAACATCACCCTTGACAATATCCAACAGATTTTGGATAGGTTAAATAAGACAAGTATAATAGGAGAAGATCCAACAAAATTTTGGAATCATGATCCTGTTATTTGTAAATTAAATATAATCAATCATGATTTGATTATAAAAACAAAATATATACAGTTTAACAATTGGGAACAAGAAGAATGTCAAATGCATATTAACAATCTTCTAAAATTGAAAGTAATAGTTCCAAGTGAAAGTCCACACAGGAGTCCAACTTTCATAGTAAACAAATCTTCAGAACAAAAAAGAGGTAAATCTAGAATGATTTACAATTACAAAAGATTATATGAATTCTGAAAAAATTATAAATTTTGAACACATTAAAGGATCTGACAATATGTTTGTTGATATCCTTTCCAGGTACATCATACAAAAATAAAAGATTATTCAATGACCTGACAAGTCCTTTAAAAACAAAGACTAAATTATGAATAATAATATGATTGAACAAGACAACCCTGAGATTCCTCCGGGATATGGGTTCATGCTAAGGCCTTTAGGATTTGATGCTAGTTTTAGCCTAAACCCGGTCATTGAAATAACAAAACAAATCAAAAGGTTAAAAAGAAAATTAACCAAACTGCGTCTAAAGAAAGACGAATTAATCAAACAAAACCCTCATAATTATATGTATGGGATCACCTTTTACAAGGTCAACATCAAGTTCTTAGAACTAGAACTGAAAAAAATAAACCATTTTGTTGCTTAGAATTTAAACTATATAATCTATTTTCTGATATGTTTTAGGTACAAATCCCATCAAATGGAAAGTACAAAGAAAGGACCTTTTGGTCCCAAACAAATGAAATCCCCATTTATGGTGAAAAATACATAAAGTATGGAAAACAAGAGTTACCATACTCACAAATCTTTACCATTATCCTGGTAGAGAAAATATAAATGTCAAATTAAATGTTTTAATTGACAATATTTGGGATATTCCAAAACACACAACTTAAAATGAGCAACAAGTCATTAAAGTGAAACAAAGCATTATTAGTGCACTATACAGTTTCTACAATACAGACAATAAAGGAGTTCTATTAAATTTACCAGCCTCTCCTTCAGGGAAAGAATTCACACATTTTGCTCTAATTACAGGGCCAAACAAAGGAGTATACACTTCATTCAAAGACCTCCCTAAGGCAAAACAATATTAGTTTTTGTCTACTTACAAAGGATTCAATTCCAAAGAAAAAGCCCAAATGGCTTTAAAATTAGAGATCATAGATGAAGAAAAAATAAAAAATGGCTCTCTTACTCGAACCAAAAACCCAAACACATACTTATGCAGATGCCTATAACATCCCTGTTCAGGTAAACCCCAACATTTTCATAGCCAAGTTTGGAGTTATACAGGAATTCTTGTTTGAAGTCCATTTAAAGGCCCAAAATTATAATGGGCTTTTTGTAAAAACCCAAACTTATTTCAATTCAAGAAACTCGTGCTTAGAATCTTCTGAATATTGTAAAATAGTAACTACAAACTGCACGTGTCAAATAAAATTCATCATCAAAAGGGCCCAAATTGATTTAAAAACCTTCAAAAACCTTATACACAAAGAACTTCTGATAAGCCCACAATTACTACTTGAAGCTGGATGTTTACACTCTCTCTATTCTACCCATAGAGAGATTTTACTCATTAACTCCAGAGCTAAACTTTGTAGTAAATGAAATACAGGCATAACATATGACTAATGTGTGTTTACACATTACTTCATCTCTAAGAAGTGTTACATCTATTGACAGCGTATTACGTAGTAAAACTATACACATATGTAAATCCAGAGACACATTCCCTGATGGAGCATGACCTTTTAAAGGGACTCTCTCTCAACAAAGACAAATTATACTAGTACCAACTCTGGAAAGCATACATAGAAGGATCTAACTGGAATTTCTCTAAAAGGGACATTTCAGATTTTATTCTTCTAAAAGAAACAGCTAACACTAAACTATATTGGAAAAGGCTTATGGGAAACAAGTTCCATCCTTTCCTCATAGAAGTCAGTCCCATCCTAGTAAAACACTTTGAAAGAGAAAGGATATACAAAGAAATTTATGAAGAAACAGGAATTCATGGACAAGAAACTCCTAGAGCTTCATTTCCCTCTGATAACAAGGAAACATACTACACATATCAAATGATCGAAAAAGAACTTGGAGACAATACTTCTGTAGGAGTTACCACAAGAGGTCTGTAAATGTTTTTACCTGTGATACAGTAATTTTACTCTTGTTGAGTAATAGACTGAAGGGTAAAAACCTATTATACAAGTATCCCGTCATTAAGAAACCGGAACAACAGGTTACTAGTCATTAGGTAACATGAACAACAAGTTACAAGTCATAAGATCTTTCTATAAAAGAACATGTAAGTCTCTTATGCTGAGCAAGGTTTCGAAAAACCCCTCTCTCTACTTCTCTCTCCTTTGCTTTCTCTCCTTCTCCTTACCTTCCTCTACCATATGTAGTTTTTGTTCATATATATAAACGTAGAAATTCAGACTCTCCTGCCTTATTTTTTTTTTTTGTATCTGAATAAGTTTTTCTTTTATGGAATATTTTTTTTAAGGACATCATCGGATGTCTTAAGTAATATTTGTTAAAAGATGCATAATCATTTAAAGACTTAAAAAGTTTTGTATAATTATGTTCATATAAGCTTACGAGGAGATGTCTAACCAGTGTTACCAGATTCATCATCTCATAATCTTATCATGAATTTGTTTTATTTTCATGTATATATTTGTCTATCTTTATCTCGAGAAAGTCATCATTTTAACTAGTCTAGTTTCAGGTTTTTTGAAAATTAAGTAGCTATGATGACCCCAAAATTTTATTCCAAATTTAGAAAAATACACTTCTCCTTTATACAACAAAACTACTCTTAAAGAAAAAAATAATAATTCTAAAGACATAAAATTAGTTTAAAATATAAAACAAATAATAAATAAATTACCAATTTTATAATTACCATTATATTTGAACTATTTAATAATAAAAGCAAATTAGGATGGAGTGTCATTTTAAAACAAAAGTTTATAATTTTATTATATATATATATATATATATATATTTTAATTATTATTTTAAAATATTATAAATAAGTTATTATAAAAATTAAGTAAATAATTTAATACACGTGTAATTTGATATTATTTTATTAGTTTAAATTTAAGTATCTTTTTTCAGAAAAAACATTTTATAATACAAATTATTTTATAATTATATATCAAAAAATATATTATAAAAAATAAAATATTGATTTAAAGATATTATTTAAAAAAATTATTTATTAATATTTTTTTAACTAAATAATTTTTTTAATAGTTATATGAATAATTTTGTAATTAAATAAATATATCATTTTAATTTAATTATTTATTACTTTTAAAATAAATATTTTTTCTTCCAACAATAATTTTTCTATTTTATTCTTTTTTTTTCTTTAGATATCCAGATTTTTTTCTACAAAATATTAAAATATATATGAAATAATGAATATTATATAATTAACCTCCAAAAATATAAAATACCGTCGTTGACCATTGTTATTAGGTCTAATGTCAACTAAACAATAAAAAGAAAAGAAAAAAAAAAAGAAGAAGAAGAAAGAGGAACATGGCAAATCGAAGCAACTGGTGTGACAGTGCGAATGCGATAAAATTAAACCCCATTGAAACTGTAAAAAACCGTAGTATAAGCAACCTGAGAGAAAAGGATATCCAAATCCAACCCGCCATTTAAAATCCCTCCCTCTACACATCACATTTCTCAACACAAACACAAACCCTTGCCGTTCAACCTTTGTTTTTCGTCTTCCCTCGCTTTCTTCAGTCTTCTTCTCAACACACCGCAGCACTGTTTCTCAAATTTTCACTTCTTCCAATCCTTTGTTCTTCAATTCTTCATCCGCAAAACACCGAGAGCGATGGCGACCGATCCCAGCCAGAAGGAAGCCCAAGTTGCGCTAATTCTTGGCCCGGATTCGACTCATCTCGAATCCCTAATTTCACACTTGATGTCGTCGTGCAACGAGCAGCGCTCTCAGGCGGAGTCTCTCTTCAACGTCTGCAAGCAGACTCGCCCGGAATCCCTCCTCTTGATGCTGGCCCACCTCCTCCACACCGCACCCAACCCGGAAACCCGCACCATGTCCGCCATACTCCTACGCCGCCACCTCACGCGCCACCACGATTCCTTCCTCTGGCCCCTCCTCTCCCCCGCCGCCCGCTCCTCCCTCCACTCCCTCCTCCTCTCCTCCCTCCAACAAGAACCTGTCAAATCCATCGCCAAGAAGCTCTGCGACACCGTCTCCGAACTCGCCGCCGCAATCCTCCCCGACGACCCCAACGCCTGGCCCAACCTCCTTCCCCTCCTCTTCCAGTGGGTCACCTCCCCTGAACCTAGACTACAGGAAATCTCGCTCCTCATATTCGCCCAATTAGCACACTACATCGGTCAAACCCTACTCCCTCAATTGTCCACTCTCCACTCCGTCTTCCTCCGCTGCCTCCACTCCTCCACCCCCTCTGACGTCCGCATCGCCGCCCTCGCCGCCTCTATCAACTTCATCCAGTGCCTCACTAGTTCCTCCGACCGCGACCGCTTCCAGGACCTGCTCCCTCTCATGATGCAGACGCTCACCGAGGCCCTGAACTCCGGCCAGGAGGCAGTCGCGCAGGAGGCGCTCGAGCTCCTTATCGAGCTCGCCGGCACCGAGCCGCGGTTCCTCCGGCGCCAGATTGTCGACGTGGTCGGCTCCATGCTGCAGGTGGCGGAAGCCGAGGCCTTGGAGGAAGGGACGCGGCACTTGGCGATCGAGTTTGTTGTCACTCTCGCCGAGGCCAGGGAACGCGCCCCCGGGATGATGAGGAAGTTGCCGCAGTTTGTGAGGAAGCTCTTTGGCGTGTTGCTGAATTTGTTGTTGGATATCAAGGATGATCCTGCGTGGCACGCTGCAGTGGATGAAGATGAGGATGCAGGTGAGACAAGTAACTATGGGTTTGGACAGGAGTGTTTGGATAGGCTGTCGATTTCGCTGGGTGGGAACACCATTGTGCCTGTTGCTTCTGAGTTGTTGCCCACTTACTTGTCTGCTCCTGAGTGGGAAAAGCACCATGCTGCACTTATTGCGCTTGCGCAGATTGCGGAGGGTTGTTCGAAGGTATATCCACTTGCTTAGGCTTTTTTGTTGTTTAGTAGGGGTTCTTGGGACTGTGCTTTTGGTGTGTTCTTACTTTTATGCTTGGACCTTTGTTTTGTATGCATTGTGTGAACGAATGTTCGTAGGTAGCATCGAAAAAAGATCCCTTTTAAGTCAGTGCATGTTCGTAGGTAACTATGCCTTTGTTTTAAATGTATTGTGTGTATGAATATGTTCCTGATTAGCTGGAAAAAAATTATTTTGTTTACTTTTGTGTGTCTCTAAGATTGTTTTCATTGATGGTGCAGGTGATGATAAAGAATCTTGAGCAGGTATTGTCGATGATTTTAAATTCATTTTGTGATCCCCATCCTCGAGTGCGATGGGCAGCTATAAATGCGATTGGGCAGTTGTCCACGGATTTGGGGCCAGATTTGCAGGTTAAATTTCACCACTTAGTGCTTCCTGCTTTGGCCGGAGCCATGGATGATTTTCAAAATCCAAGAGTACAGGTTTGTTATTGTGTCTTTTATCTGGCTTAGGTTCATTGTCTCTTGTAATAAATCAAGTCATGCTCTCCTTTCCTTTGGTTTTTCTAAAATGTGCATAGTTTTTGCTATGTGCAATTGCATTTTCTCATTCATATTAAACTAAGTTGGACTTATCAAATTATCTTTACTATATACTATTTTCTGTTCTTTCTTTTGTCCTTAACATGTATGTGTTCTGCTAGAGATAATATGACATTTTTTCAGTCCGATGAAATGGTTGAGTTTTTTTTTGCATGACCAATGCACTCTCTTGTAGTCGTCAATCTTTTGTTACGCCAAGTATTTTATTGTTTATAGGTTCTGGTGATCACATATAAATGCAGAACTAGTAAATTATCTCAAGGCTTTGTTCATAGGCTTTTCACAATCTTAATAGACATTCACATTTAAGAAAGTTAAATGGCCCAGGTGAATTTTCTCCGTTATGCATTTTTAACAATTTCAATATTGTTTATCATCAGTTGAATATGGCTTATATGAGTAACTACTTTGAAATATAGAGTTCTTCTACCCCAAAAGTCTCTTCATAATTATCTGATTTGCTGTTTAGTGCCACTATTTTTAACATGTCTGTGTAAACATGAATCTTAAGTTTCCTGATATCCGATAATTTGTTTCATTTATGTTCAGAAATTCAATAATCTTATCCATCCCTTTTTTATTTGTATATTGTGCAGGCTCATGCTGCTTCTGCAGTGCTAAATTTCACTGAGAATTGTACCCCTGATATTCTAACACCTTACTTAGATGGGATTGTGAGCAAACTTTTGGTACTCTTGCAGGTATTTTGACTTGTGCATATGCTGATATCTAGCTAGCAAGAAAATTGTAGATTATGCGGATTTGGATAATAATATCTTTCTGGAGATCATTTATGATGTTTTCCATGTTTGGACTTAATGGTTTGAAACAAATATCACACTAATACACTATGGATTCTCCTTGGTTTCTTTTTTTTTGCAGTCATGGGTACGGACTTTGATATTATGGGATGTCTAAGTCTTACATTGAATAATATGAGATCCTTGGTGGAGTATGTGTTGGTTTTTCCCCTAGCTTTTAAGGATGTGTTCCCCCAAGTACATGAGTGCTTATCAATTTTATCAATTGGTATCATAGTTAGGTTATTGGTGTCTCTGAAAGGACTATCCATGGAAGATTCTGACAATGAGAAAGTTGAGTGAAATGTCACCAAGAGAAGTGTCATAAAGTGAGCCATTGGAGCATCAACTTTTAGGGGTGGTGTTGTGATGGGGACTTGGATATTATGGTTGTCTAAGTCTCACATTCAGTAGTATAGGATGCTCAATAGAGTATTCATCCTATTTTTTATTTTTAATCATAATTGGAAGTTGTTTAGTGTAATGCAAGCCTTAGTACAAGTTTATTATGTTTTTTTTTTTTAACATGAAGTGAATTATTACTTTTATCTTTTCCTAAAATTGAGATAAATTTATCTTGCATTTAGGTTTGTATATTAATTTGTTTCTTAGTTATATGCAACCTATTGATATTTTGTTTAATACATTGTGTGCAGTGCTTTATAATAAATAATAAAATTTTCACATGTTTTATACTTGATGCAATTGTGATGGTTGGTGTACAAATATATGATTATCCTTTCTTTCACTTGTATGTGATCTAGAATGGGAAACAAATGGTTCAAGAAGGGGCTTTGACAGCTTTAGCATCAGTTGCAGATTCTTCACAGGTGCTTTATATAGCCTATATTCTACATAGTAATAATAATGCTTTTAAGTTTATACGTAATACATAAGAATGTTGTGTCAACAGGAGCAATTTCAGAAGTATTATGATGCCGTGATGCCATACTTAAAAGCTATTCTGGTGAATGCAAATGATAAATCTAATCGTATGCTTCGTGCCAAAGCCATGGAGTGCATTAGTTTGGTAGGAATGGCTGTTGGAAAGGAGAAGTTCAGAGATGATGCCAAACAGGTGAATTTTAACTTAGTCCAGAGTTGTTTCTTTTTAAATTCATGTTTATTGGTGGAAGTAGTAATTTTATATATACTTTCCTGGAATCATTGTTCACTTTCATTGTGCTAATGTATAGTTGCCATTTTTCCTTTACAACAAGGTCATGGATGTCTTGATGTCACTGCAACAATCTCAACTAGATGCTGATGATCCAACTGCTAGTTACATGTTACAAGTACGGTCCTTTTAACAGTTGTCTCCATCAACTTAGCAATATATTTTTTTGTCTTCTAGTTAACATTCTTCAAAATCTCAAATGTTCACTTGGCATCCATGCTTCAGGCATGGGCACGGCTTTGCAAGTGCCTTGGGCAGGATTTTCTCCCGTATATGGGTTTTGTGATGCCTCCTTTGATCCAGTCTGCACAACTTAAGCCTGATGTGACCATTACATCAGCGGATTCTGATACTGAATTTGATGAAGATGATGACAGGTGCCCTTTCAGTTCTTGTTATTTGATTGATACCTTGTTTTAGCATGTGTTATCAATAGTGACCAGAGTTTCCACTGCTGCAGTAGAGCAGGGCCGAGAGGTGGTGAGGGGTGACACAAACTTTGTTGCCTTCTGTTTTGGAGTTGTGGTCTGGGTGTTTTCTGGATTTGTGGCTGTGAAAGCCCAACTGAAAACTGCAGTACCAACACTCCACTCCACACAACCTCCAGTTTACTGCCGTCCTTCCATTTGTGTTCTGTCACAGGACCGTCTCATTTTGAGGGGGTGACGACAGCTAAAATAATGAATGGGTAGTGGGTCCTTAGGGTTCATAATGTAGTATTCTCAATTCTCATTTCTCGGGCCTTGGGCCTCAATCAACAACATATTTTTATATGGGTTGCTTTTGAACTTTTAATATGTGGACAGTTATTTAATAAAATAACTAAATAATAAACTAAATAGTATTAATACTAAATATAATAGTATTAATAATATATAAAATTTGATTAATTCATTACATATAATATAATAAACTAGATAAAAACCATAAACTATAATGTAATAGTAATAAAAATATAATAAAACAACTAATCGAAGTAATAAAACTTAGTTAAACATAATAAGCTAAATAATAAAAAATTATAAATAATATAGTAATAATAGGAAATATATACATAGTATATGTAATTAATAAATATATATATATATATATATATATATATATAGAGAGAGAGAGAGAGAGAGAGAGAGAGAGAGAGATTAAAATTTAAGGTTTGAATAACTGTAATTCTGCTATCAGGTACCTCGCTATCTCACTTTTAGGGTTGGCTGGAATGACAACTATGGTTTTAGCATGATGTGATATGCCATTTATTCTTCATTTAATTTTCTAGGGATCTCATTCCTTGTATTTGAGCTTCTACATCAGTCTTTAATTTAGAGATATTTTGTGTATTTAAGATCATGAGAGATATCTACATATGATATTGCTTCTTTTATTAAATTCCATTTGTATAACAATATCATTGTCGAGACTTCCATGTATTAGATCATACAGATGTCTTATAGTATCTTAGGCTTAAATTTTAAGTAAAACTTTCTCCACAATATATGACCTACCATTCTCATATGTAAGGGAAGAAGGGAATAAGCACAGAAAAGAGATATGGATTATACTGATGGATATGTTGATTTTGTTTTGTAAATACTTTTGTATCTGGCTGTTGTTCTTGTAGCATTGAAACAATCACACTTGGGGACAAAAGGATAGGCATCAAGACTAGTGTCTTGGAAGAGAAGGCTACTGCTTGTAACATGCTATGTTGCTATGCTGACGAGTTGAAGGAAGGATTTTTTCCTTGGATTGACCAGGTTGACTTTGTTTTATATTTTACTGGCATTTTCCAGTCCAGGATATTTTATTGACTAACTTTGTGGAATCATCTAGGTTGCTTTCACATTGGTTCCTCTTCTTAAATTTTACTTCCATGAAGAAGTTAGGAAGGCAGCAGTTTCAGGTATTTTCTTAAATTTCACATTTATTATTTATTTCCTTCTGTACCATTATTGGTTTATTTTTAAATTTCACCCATCTTTTTTCATGTAGCTATGCCAGAACTGTTGTCCTCAGCAAAATCAGCTCTAGAGAAGGGACAATCACAAGGTCGGGATGAGACTTACTTAAAGCAGTTGTCTGATTATATAATACCAAATTTGGTGGAGGCTTTACACAAGGTTAAAAATCCTGCCTATCTATTATGCTGGAAATTTGGTATCCACTCTGCAGTTTCTTTTTTGTGCTTTTATAAATATATATTTTCTGTCTTCCAGGAGCCAGAAGTAGAAATTTGTGCAACCATGTTGGATGCATTGAATGAATGTATACAGGTTTGTAACTTACCTCTATCAGGATGGAAGATCTGTAACATTAATCTTTTTACATGAAATTTAACAGTTTTGCCATATACAATCTCATTTACTGTATGACAATTAATTATTTGAGTGAATTTATTACCCAAAATAGTTTATGGTAGACAATTTTGTCCATGATGTGTGTTGTGGCTCGTGCCTTGGAATATTGCATAGAATTTGTATATTACAAGATATGAAATATAGCATGAATAATTTGGAGCTTTCTTTTATACTTTGTAAAATAAGAAAAGAATAACATTAGTGGCATGGCGACTTATTTAGGTATTCTTAGTCATTTTATGCAGTGCCTATAAACTACATTTTGTTCAGGTATCCTTAGTCATTTTATGCAGTTTCCTGTGAACTTCCATTATAAATAAGAGAACCTAAGAAAGGGAGTTCAAGCTCTCTAATTACATATTTTTTCCTTTTTTATCTTAAGTTGGTATCAGAGTGGGTTTATCCCGCACTGCCTATTTGCGACTATCATTTGTCGTCTGGCACTACCGATTGCTGTCTGTCTATTGCCACTGTGCGCTGCCACCACCACTGTCCGCCTATAACATGGCTTCAAGGCCCACAACCTCCTTTTCAAGGTCTCCTATTATAACATCTGAAAAGTTAAATGGAAAAATTATTTATCATAGTCTGCATTAGTAGAACTCTAGTTCCTAGGTCAAGGGTTCCCTGGTCACCTAGGAAAAGATGAAAGTGATGTTCCACAAGATCAAGCTCAACAATGGAAGAAAATTGATTTTCAGTTATGTCCTTTGCAATGATGGTCACTAGAATCAAATATTTTGAAGACCTAGTCATGTATCCTCTTTTGGTTTAAGATCTTTTATTACCTTTATTAATGAGTTCTCTAGATGTATTTGGATTTATCTAACGAAAAATCGTTTTGAACTTTTGTCTATCTTCATGTCTTTCTTTAATGAAGTAAAAAATCAATTTGGAAAAATAATTAAAGTTCTACAAAGCGATAATGCCAAATAATATTTCTCCATTACTTTTTTCACTACCTTAAAATCACAAGGCATCTTACATTAGTCTATTTACCCTCATACACCACAGCAAAATGGTATAACAGAAAGAAGAAATAGACAATTGGTTGAAATTGTTCGTACCTTATTACTTAGTGCAAATATCATTGGGGAGATGCTATCCTAACTGCATGTTTTCTCATTAACAAAGTGTTTTCTTCTTTGACAATAAAGTTCCATTCTCCATTCTATTTTCAAAGGACCCCTTTTTTCATGTTTCTCCCCGTGTTTTTGGTTGTGTATGTTTTGTTCATGATATGTCTCTAGGTTTAGCCAAACTCTTTACTAGAGCTATTAAATGTGTCTTTTGAAGATATTCTCATCTTAAAAAAGGATATCGTTGTTACTCTCCTTAAACTCATAAATATTATATGTCAACCAATGCCACCTTTTTTCAATCAACTCTATTCTTTCTTTTGTATGCACAAGATATTAGTTTTTGTCCAACATGTTCTTCCTATACCCTTAGTGGTGTCCTTAGTTCCTTTGTTCCTGACAACCAAAATCCTATTCAAGATTCAATGCCCCAAGGTGAGTCCTCTTCAATAGGTCCTTCTCAATCATCACTCAACACCAACTCATGATAAAAATGACTCTTGTTAGCCTATTGTCATTCGCAAAGGTACTCGTTCTACTCGTAATCTATATTTATTTATAATTTCCTTATCTACCACAAATTATTTCCTTCATATTTTTCTTTTAAATCTTCTGTATCCTTTATTTCTTATTCCTAAAAATGTGACCGAAACACTTGATCATCATGGATGACAATAAACCATGATTTTTGAAATATAGGCTCTTGAACATAACACATGGGAGTTGGTTCCTCTTCCTTCCGGAAAGAAAACTGTTAGTTGTCGTTGGGTCTATACCATTAAGATCGGACTTAATGGTGAAGTTGACCGTCTCAAAGCTAGATGTTCTTAATTATGTGATGCTTTCTCTCCCGTGGCCAAAATGACTATTGTGAGACTTTTCTTTGCCATGGTCGTCATTAGTCATTGGCCTCTCCATCAACTGAATATTAAGAATGCCTCCTTTATGGTGATCTAGAAGAGAAAGTCTACATGGAGCAATCTCTTGGCTTTGTTGCTCAGGGGGAGTCTAGTTTACTTTGTAAGTTGCAACGTTCTCTTTATGGTCTAAAGCAATCACTGCGTGCTTGGTTTGGAAAATTTAGTTTCATGGTTCAAGTTTGTGGGTTGAAACAAAGTGAAGCAAATCATTTAGTCTTTTACTATCATCGTCCCTGGAAAATGCATCTATTTACTTGTATATGTTGATGATATACTCATCATAGAAAATTATTCTGCCAAAATATCTTAGTTAAAACAACACTTATTCAACCATTCTTAGACCAAAGATCTTGGAAGTCTCAAATACTTTTTGGCAATTAATGTAGCCCAATCAAAAGGTGTTATAATCTCAAAGAAAATATGCTCTAGATATCTTAAAAGAGACAAGTATGATTGATTGTAAACCCGTGGATAGTCCTATGAACCCAAATTAGAAATTAATGGCAGAATAGGGTGAAGTTTTCCATGATCTAGAGAGATATAGAAGACTAATTGGAAACTTATTTATCTTACTATTACTAGACATGATCTATGTTTTGTAATTGGTGTTGTTAGTCAATTCATGCAGGCCCCTTGTATTGATCATTGGAATACTATCGTACATATCCTGAGATACCTAAAAAAATAAAAAATGCTCCAGAACAAGGGTTGTTATATGAAGATAAAGGAAATACCCAAATCTTTGGGTATTGTGATATTGACTAGGTAGGAACTCCTATGGATAGACGCTCTACTACAGGATATTGTGTCTTTCTTGAAGGAAATGTTATTTTGTTGGAAAAGTAAGAAATAAAACTTAGTTACCCAATCATCTGTTGAAACTAAATATAGGGTAATGACATTTCTCACGTGTAAACTTGTATGGGTGAAACAATTCCTTCATGAGCTAAACTTTTGTGAGATTTAGAAAATAAAGATGCATTGAAGTTGTTGTCCAAAGAAATTTGTACTGAGTTTGTTGGATCCAATGATCAACTTGCATTAACAAAATCCTTGAGAGGGCCATGAATCAAATTCATTTGTTCCAAGTTTGATAAATATAATTTGTATGCTCCAGATTGAAGGGGAGTATTAGATTTATTAGATATTAAATAGAAGTTGTGCCTCATATCTAGAATAGGTCTTTTCATTTTTCCTCTACTCGTTATGTCTGTGAACTTCTATTATAAATAAGAGAATCTACTCATTATGTCTTAGAACTCTAACTAATGTTTTTTTTCCTTTTTTATCATAAGTAAATTAAAAAGAATCATGAGCGTAAGTCACACATCCTAAGAAAATACAAACTCCATGTTCTTAACTAATGACAAGAGATAACAAACACAAAATAGGACAGCAAGGCTTTCCCTATACCTGGTGAACCAGATGCTGAGGATATTAGGAGAACCACCATCTTAACCCATCATACAAAGGTGTAGAAAAAGTGGATCAATGGAGGGGAAAACCAATGATGGAAAAAAAGTGTGCCACAAATGATATTTTCATCTTTAGAATGACAATTTAAAGTACACTTGATTTGTTTTTGAATATTGTCCAATTGTTTATTACTTCTTTGTCACTTTATTCTATCTGAAGTCTGGAAATGGGATGGATTTGTACTAGAAAACTGCAATCAAATTATCATTATATGTTGTTTTGATTTTTTTTTTCTATCTATGTCATGGTTGGACATGGATTTGAGCTATTTTGTGCTGTTCTAAAATCTCATTGATTTTGTCTATTGTTTTTCTCAAGTAATCAATCTTCTCTTAAGGTGTCTTTAAAACTAAAGGTGGATAGGGTTTGTTTCTTTCAGGTGTCTGGGCAACATCTAAATGAAAAGCAAGTACGGAGCATTGTTGATGAAATTAAACAAGTCCTTACAGCCAGCTCATCAAGAAAACATGAAAGAGCAGAGAGGGCCAAAGAAGAAGACTTTGATGCTGAAGAAAGAGAACTACTCAAGGAAGAAAATGAGCAAGAAGAGGATCTTTTTGATGAAGTATGTTCATTAATCTGTTTTTCTGATCTGAATCACTTAATTAAATATTTTTTATGGGCAGCCTAACATGTATTTTGAATCATGTTCTAGGTTGGTGATTGCTTGGGAACTTTGATAAAGACATTCAGGATATCCTTCTTGCCTTTCTTTGATGAGTTGTCCTCATACATAACACCTATGTTTGTAAGTTTCTTTCTGTCCCTATAATGATGTATCTTTGGTGCGAGAACTAGTCTTAAATTTTTTTATTTTTCTTTCATGGCTTTTCCACTTCTGTTTTTGCCAAATCTTTTTTCCATAAGGCAATTAATTTGAAGAAAAAAATATTTTCTAGCTATTATATTTTCTTCCCTACATGATATTTATTTTTCATTTGTTATGCATACCCTTTTTATAGGGCAAAAACCATGTAGTTAGCAAAAAGGTAGAGAATACCTTGTGTATTATGCACCTGTTATGACACTGCTACCTCCTAAAATGTTTATGTATGAAATTTTGTTTTCATTAATGGAACATGCTAATGTTCTGATCCCCCCTTCCTGGTCCAGAAGTAGAGTAATTGATTATGTCAATTACTAATTTACTACTGAACTGCTTGTCAATGTGTATGTATGAATATGCATATTTTAAAATCTGTACAAATTATGAGTATAGAAATGTTTGCCAATGTATTTCCTGATCCAATTTCATCCCTCCCAATCAATATCCAGGGTAAAGATAAAACCTCAGAGGAAAGGAGAATTGCCATTTGTATATTTGACGATGTTGCTGAGCACTGTCGTGAAGCCGCCCTTAAGTAAGATCTGCCTCCTTGTGGGCGTGTGTCCCCCTATTATTCGCTCGTGTGGATTTTCCGCACTTTCATGCATACATTTATTGTATTTCCTTTACTCTGTATGATTTTGTTGTATATTTTAAATGCTTGTTTATGTTGTTGCATAGATATTACGATTCTTACCTTCCATTCTTACTAGAAGCTTGCAATGATGAATATCCAGATGTTAGACAGGTTCACTACCCCTTCTTGTTTTACTGTATAATAATGTTGCTTGTTCAGTTTTGGAATGTAATTTGATACAATCATCTCACAATCAATGTCTTTGCAGGCTGCTGTTTATGGTGTTGGTGTTTGTGCTGAGTTTGGTGGATCTGTTTTCAAACCCCTTGTTGGAGGTTAGTTGCCAACACCATTTGCTTGTTTTGCTATGGCTTATTTATTTATATATATATATATATATATATATATATATATATTATTTTTTTTTTTTTTTTGAATATTTTTTTCTGCTGCACTGCAGAGGCACTCTCAAGGTTAGATGCTGTGATAAGGCATCCAAATGCACAACATCCTGATAACGTAATGGCCTATGACAATGCTGTTTCAGCCCTTGGAAAAATATGCCAGTTTCACCGTGATAGTATAAATGCAACACAGGTATATTACATTTTTGGTGCTCCATGTCTTTGCTGTCTTTTAAAATTCTGTTGTTTACTTGATCTTGCTTGTGATCCTAATGTGATTTGAAAAAAATGTGTTGGTGATAGGTAGTCATCCTGTTTGGGTTAAAATTTGTTTCTATATGATACCACTTCATGGTGATTTTTTTATCAGTGGAGTAATGGTTTTAAGTCTTTTGGCTTACCTTATCCAGTCATGCCCTGATAAGGCTGTCATCTTTCAGCTTTTGCTGAAATTACTTTCTAGAGATATCTTGGGCAGACTCCCCCCTCCCTCCCCCAACCGCCCTTTCTTCACTCTTTTTCTCTAGTAGTGGTGTAAAAACTACTATTTGGGATTTGTGGTTTCTGGATACACAAACAAACATAATAATGATCATGTAAACTAATATTGTCTTGATAGTTAAAGACTTGAACTCCATTTTGGCATGTTAGTTATTGATAGAATAGGAAACAGGTTATATGTTTACCGTGTTTAGTTTAGACAGTCCATTAGCCAAAGGACTAAGGTATTTAATGTTGCATTCGGTTCAAAATTCTTGAGACTTGGAGAGGACTTTGCGTAAGTCATTCACATCAGGAAAACTCTGCTTTCAGGTTCAGTAATTGATACGTTTCAGCAGAGGACTTCGACAAAATTATGAGATGAATTTATCATAATTTGTTATCATCAATTACTTGGTGTGTTCTCTGAACATTCTAGGTTGAAAACCCTAGTTGTAGGATAAGATGGGTATTGAGTCCTGACACTTATTTTAAAATCCTTGAGGAAATTCTGCTTGTGTGTTTTATTTCTAACTTCTATCATTTATTGCTTTGTATTAGGTTGTTCCTGCCTGGTTGAGTTGCTTGCCTATAAAAGGTGATTTAATTGAGGCTAAGGTTGTGCACGACCAACTTTGTTCAATGGTTGAAAGGTAGAATTCTAATCCAAAACATGTTTTGATTGATCTCTATTAACCTATATATGCTGCCTCCTGTTATTGTTGCTTGTTGACTTTGTTGTTTGTTATATGTATTGGTAAAGACTTGACTTTACTATTTGATATATGTATTGATACACACTTCTATTGAATTTTCAGATCAGATACAGAACTTATAGGTCCCAACAATCAATATCTTCCCAAAATTGTTGCAGTTTTTGCTGAGGTATTTTCAATGCCAGTTCTTTTAGTTACTGCTGTTAGATTCTGGAGCCACTTTACCATTCTAAAATGTGTTACGCTTTATGCATCAACTATGATACAGATTTTATGTGCGGGAAATGATCTGGCAACTGAAAAAACTGTGAGTCGGATGGTTAATCTATTGAGGCAGCTACAACAGACTTTGCCACCTTCAACCCTTGCTTCAACCTGGTCATCCTTGCAGCCTCAGCAGCAACTTGCACTTCAGTCCATCCTCTCATCCTAGTAGATGTCATTGTTGCCTTTTCAGAAGCTGCATTGTCAGGTCATATTCATTCCTTTAGCATCATCCTTGGAGTGATTTTTGTAGACAAACAGCTGCGTCTGGTTCATGTTCATGATTGCTGATCATATTTGGTATAGCAAGCCAGGACTTGTGAGGTATGGATTTGTCGCAGAGGCAGAGCAGTGTTGAGTTGGTTGGATGGGAAACAGTTTTGGTGTGGAATGTGTATACTATGTCACAGTCAGAAGGAATTCTCAAATGAACAATGACTCGATCCTGTCTGTTGATGATGGGACGAGGTGTGACCCCGAGTCATGCATGACTCAGAAAAATGGCATAGCATTCTTTTTTATTATTTTGAGTTGTAACAGTTTTGATGGGTCGTTTCTTTGGAGGTTTGAAACAGTTTGTCATAGTTTAATTTATTTGTATATCTGCTTGCTTATTTCCTTTTTGTGCTTCCCCTTGCACCAGCTTCCACTATCTTTTACACATGATTAGATAAGGAAATAGACGCGTGTAGGGTAGACAAAATACGAGGAACAAAAAAAAGTTACGTGGTCATGATTCAGAGGGAAAAAAAAAGAAAAAAAAAGTTATTTCAAAGTTGTTGAATAATGAAAAATTGAGAATAGTATAATATATTTATAATTAAGAGTCATATAAATAAATATGATAATGATAAATATATATTATGATTAATAATATCTAAAATATTTATTATATTATTTGAAATTGATATATATAAATTATATATATTAAATTTGTTATAAATATAATTAACTTTAGGTCTTTGTAAAAATATGGTGAAAATAATTATTAATTATTTATTTGAGTTAATAGATTTGATTTTTAATATTTTTAAATATAATTTTTTCTCGAATAAAATGATAACAATTTTATTAAAATTATTAAATTAATATGAAGAGTAGATTGTTATATATATATATATATATAAATATAAATATAAATAAAAGTATCATTTGATTAATATTTTTAAATTGTAATTTTTTAAGTAATTAGTTAAGTCAAACAAGTTTACAAGTGATTCAGGTCATAATTTTATATATTTTTTTTACATTAGATCTTGTTACACTTTGTTTCTTGTTCTTCTAAGAGATCAAGAATTTTCTAAGAGATCAAGTTACTCTAATAGAAACAGAGTATCCGACGGTAGATTTTCTATCAAAAAGAAATCATGCTCAATCAGCATCTGATTAACCAACTTTAGTACTTTAACTTGTTTATTGTGATCATATAATAAATCTCTTCTAAGAGATCCTTTAATATACTTTAATATATGAATGATTATATTTTAATGATCTACACACGAAGAATTAAGAAATTGACTCACCACACCAACTGCAAAGAAAATGTCATGATGAGTAACAGTAAGATAATTTAATTTTCCAACTAATCTTTTGTACTTGTTATGATATGAGAGATTCCCTTGATTAGGTAAGAGTTTGGTATTGAGATTCATGGATGTGTCAACAAATTTTGAGTTTATCAATCTAGTTTCTTCTAAAATATATAATACATATTTTCTACGAGATATAACAATATATATATTGGATTGTGCTACCTTAATCCCTAAGAATTATTTAAGTTTGTCAAGATCTTTGGTTTGAAAGTGGTGACAAGGGTGTTGCTTCATCTAGGATATGTCATGGTGATCACTCCTTATAAGAATAATATCATCAACATGCACTATTAAATAGATACAACTAACACTTGAGTGATGGTAAAATACTGAATGATCCTCACTATGAGTCATACCAAATTGTTGAACAACATTGTTAAATTTTCCAAACCAGGTCCTAGGAGATTGTTTTAAGCCATATAAAGATTTGTGAAGGTGATATACTAATCCAGAAGACTCTCCATGAGCAACAAAGCCTAGAGGTTGTTCCATATAAATTTCTTCTTGCAAATCTCCATTAAGAAAAATATTTTTGACATCCAATTGGTAAATAGGTCATTGTTGAAGAACAACTATGACTATGAATAAGCGAACAAAAATCATCTTTGCCACTGGAGAAAATGTGTCATCATAGTAGGGATGGCAAAACGGGTCAGCCCGCCCCGTCTTTGGCTCATCAAAAGCGGGGCGGGGCGGCTGGCCCGTTATAGTCATGACAGGCTGTAGACCTTGGCCCGCCCGCCAAGGGTGGGTTGGCGGGCTGGCACGCCATAATTTAGAAAAAATAATTTATTTTTTAAAATAATTTTTTTAATAAATTTAATAATAAGATTATTATTTGTTTGTCAATAATTCAATATATATATTATTTCAATTTAATAATATAAATTAATAAATTATTTTAAGAAATTATAATTTAGAACAATAATAAAATTTACATAATAATAAATAATAACAAATATATATATATATATATATAAATAACGTTAAAACTTAAAAAATTTATATTTTTTATATTGAAAAATTCAAATACCTATATTTTTTTTATTTGATAAAACTTCATATTATTCTTGGTTGAGTAATTCTTACACCTTTAATTCAAGTAATAAGGATAAAAATAATCGAGTTCTTAGGATAAACAAGGGAAACAGGAGAGAGAAGGTTATGTTTCGATAAGGAGAATATTTGCTCTGAGAGTGAAACTTTTTTAATTCTCTTTTTAAAAATTTTAACTTTATATATTATCTTTATAATTAATTTTATTACAATAAAAAATTATTTTTTTTATTAATTAGGCGGGCTTGGCGGGGTGGGCCAAAGCGAGCTGAAAACACCAACACCGCCCGCTAGCCGCCGGGCCTAACCCGTTTTGTCATCCCTACATCATAGTCCAAACCAAAAATTTGTGTGTAACCTTTGACCACAAGATGAGCTTTGAGATGATCAATAGTACCATCAGGACCAACTTTGATAGCAAAAACTCATCTACAACCAACACCAGATTCTTAGACGATAATGAGACAAGTTCCAAAGTTCTACTATTCTGAAGAACACTCATTTCATCAAGTATGGTATGACGCCAACCAAGATGGACTAATGCAAAAGGGGACGAAGCACGTTGTCAGGCACTACAAGAAAATAAACTACGATTATGTTTTCCTAATTAACACGACTCACATAACAAACTAGATAAATTGAAAAAGTGGGAACAAGCTGTTACAGTTTAACAATACTGGGGGACCTAGTTAAGCATGAAGGAGAGATGGAGACTCCATAACTATGCTAACATATGTAGAATGGTGGAGATGATAAAGATCATGAAACTCACATCCGATGTCAATCATCTATCTCGAACTCTGATCCTATAAACAAACAAAATCTTTGGTAAAAGAAATAACTCAATTAAGAGAACAGGTTAGATGACTAATGGATAATAAATTAAAAGGAGACCTAAAGACATAAAGAACATTATCAATAGATAAAGATCGAAAAAGTTTAACAATATTAACACCATGAGACAAAATCCTAGACTCATCAGTCATTGTAATCGAAGATAATTTATCTGTAGAGGATAAAAAAAATAAAGATTTGTTCTCAATAATATGATCTGTGGTGCTTGAGTCAAGAACCCAAGGTCCAAGAGAAGGAGATTGAGTTAGACCAACAAAAGATGTACCAATGTGTGCAATAGAAGTAATGGAACTAGAGTTTTGACAATCCTCGTACAATTTGAAAAATTCATTGAAAAGGGTGGAACAAGTAAAAGTGAAATTGGGCACAATAGAGGAACCTAAAATTTGATCACAGACATGAGAATATTCATTAGCAAGCCCATGTAATGCCAACAACATGAAGAACTTTGACCGTTGCTCTAGTTCTTGGGTAGAAGTAGAGACAAGAGATAATAACTCATTAAAGTCATGAAGAAAAACATGAATTTTACCCAAATATTCAGCCATTGGCCAATGACTTCGAGGAGCAACAATAGTGAGAATATCGTAACAAACTTCATAAAGATGTTGAGTGTCATTGGTGTATAATAATTTTACTTGTTCCCAAACCTTGGAATACATTTCATAGGCACGAAACATTTGCTTTAAAGAGGAATGAATGGTAGACTTGAGAACGATGCATAATTGAGCATCAGTTTTTATCTAATAGGAAACTTCATTGGTAGCAATAGTAGTCACATTTTGAGTAAGATGATCAACATACCCCAAAATCTTAAGCCAAAGTTTAATGTCTGATGCCCAAGTCGTATAACTAGTGTCATCTAACTTTTCAATAAACAAATGCACATTTGCATAATTAGTATTGACTGACGTATCATACAGATTGGCGGTAAAAGAAGAGATATCGAAAGAGGCAACGGAAGAAGCCATGGAGGAAGAGAGAGAAAAACCCTAAAAACTTTAAATGACGCATGGAGATTCCAATCGTGGCGATCTCAATGGTGTGGTGGTCGCCTAGTCCAGATAAGCAGAACGATGTGGTCGCCGATCTGAATTGTAACTTCAGCGATGGCAATGGCTCCGACGACTTCGGCGGTGGTGGAAACAATGATGATAGGTGTAAGGGAAGTGGTGGCAGGTGCAAGGGCGGTGATGCGGCGACGAAAAAGAGAACCTAAGCTCTAAATACCAAGTTGAATATAGTGAAAAACTAGGTATAAGGTTAATTTCCCTTGTGTCTAAAATATACATAGATAATATATTTATAATTAAGAGTCATAAATATGACAAATACATATATTATGATTAATAATATCTAAAATATCTAACAAAAGTAATCTCTATTTGTTTGCTTCTACAAA